GAAACTTGAGCGGACGGAGTAGAATATAGGGCCCGTAACAGCGTCGTAAAATGAGGGCCAAACCCGAATTTGTCCAATGTCTGAAACGGTCCCAAGACAGACTGTCGAATGCTTTCTGAATATCCAGTGACAGTAGTAGAATTTGCCTCTGTGAAGACCCGTCCCAATTGGACTGCACCGCTGACAGCAAAGCTATAGTCTGAATTTGGTCCGATGTTTGTCAACTGCTTACGAATCCTGACTGGTCATCGTGAATATATAGGGCCAAAAATTTATGGAGACGTAGGGCCATTATTTTAATAAGAATCTTTAAATCGCAATTAATTAAGGAAATAGGCCGGTAATTGGAAACCATAGCGGCGTCCTTGAGAGGCTTGGATGACACTGATGAATGCTTTATTTTCATCTGGGAGTCGCAAATAGTTAAAGTAGAGGGCCATATGGGGCGTCTAAATATCAGGGAAAGCTTTATAATAATTATTGGGAAGACCATCCGGTCCTGGGGCCTTATGAGAGGCAAGAGATTTCACCGCGTTCCCGACTTCTTCACATTCACATGAAGAATGGGTCTCCTGGAGGGGGGGGGGGGGGGGCGGAGCGAAACAGACCCCAAAATGGTGTCAAAAGAAGAAGACGAACCCCCTTCGGGCGAGCTATAAAGTTTAGAGTAGAAAGAATGAAATTTGTGGAGGATCTTACCAGGGTCTTGGGATAACGAACAGTTATGCAATCTGAGTTTGGGGAAAGCCGTCTGGGAATGTCTGGGAGTCAGCTTGCGTGCTAACAAAGTGCCAGGTCTGTCCCTCCAAGTAAAGAATTTATGATTTAGACCTATGAAATTTTGTCAGCAATGGTAGTAAGACACAAATTAAGTTTCAGTCGGGCCTGGTCAAGTTTAAGTAACAAATCAGGACTGGGATTTTGCTTATGTTGAGCAACCAGGTCATTTTGGGCTTTTTTTAAGACGAGAAGATAGTTGAATAATACACCCCCTGACCGTGGCCTTATGAGCTGCCCAATTAATTGCCGGGTCCGTGTCCTCTGCTTTATTGAAGTCAAAGAATGCTTGTAAATGTGAGGAGATTTCCCGACAATGAGAGGGGTTATCCAAAATAGTCATTAAGACGCCAGTGAAAAGCCTTCTTACCAGGTGTCCCAGACAACAAGGTTATAGAAACTGGGTCATGGTCAGACCAGGGCGTGGAGAAAATTTTAGCAGTAAGAAGTCTGGGGAGTGAATGTGTCTGAAGAAAAATATGATCAATACGGGAATAACTGTTATGAGTCCTGGAGTAGTGGGAGTAGTCTCGAAGTAGGATTAGCCTCTCTCCATGCATCAATAAAGTCATAGCGATATAATAGTTGGGCCAACTTACAGCTCCGTCTAAAAGGAGGCTGAAACATGACTGTTTGGGAACGATCCAGAGTCTGGTCCAGTGCTAGATTGGAGTCACCAGCCAAAATAACATCACCCTCAAAATTCCCGACCAGGGTGCTCAGCAGGGACTGAAAAAATTGCACCTGATTGGTATTTGGAGTATAATAAAAATTAGAAAAGTGATTAGGTTTCCTCCCAAGTGGCCTCTCACCAGAATATATCACCCCTCCCTGTCCCGGATAATTTTGGATCCGGTAAAGGACAGTCTGCGAGAAAAGCAAAGGGCTACCCCCCCCCCCCCCCCCCCCCCCCCCCACCCCCGTTTTTTTCTCTGTAGCATTAGCAAAAAGGCAGACAAGGTAATTTTTTTATGGATATAGCATGGAGAGAAGGAGGGGAGAAAATGCGTCTTCTGTAAGGCAACTATATCTGTCCCAAGGGAGTGGTACGAACTGAAAGCCTGTATGCATTTAGAGGGGGAATTAAGCCCCTGAACATTGTGAGAAATTAGACGAATACCCCCTCTAGTTGACCGCTGGGAAGACATTATAAATAATTAAGGAGCTAAGCAGGATGGAGACCCTATGTTCCTGAAGAGTGAAGATGTTCCTAAGAGTCCCTAAATGTTGCCAGCTGACCCCGAGGGAAAACAAAAAAAAGACAAAGAAAAATTGGAGAAAAAAGGAAAGGGGATAAGACATTCGGAACACAAGTCTGCATGTCAAGTAACCGTGGTACACGAAACAATACTATATAAATAGTTCAGACTATGCACCAGGAAATAGAGCTATAGCCCTGTAGTGGAATGCTGCCCAGAGAAGCGATCTCGGGGAAGTCTTCCAGTCAGTGCAAAGACACTCTCTGGGCAGCAACAGTAGCAGAAACCCATCAGCAATCAATCAGAAGTTTAGTGCATAAAAATACAAGAACAAAACAATTGAACCTTCTGAAATGGCATTCAGCAAACAGATGTAATGTAATCCCCAGGTCCCGCCCCCCCCCCCCCCCCCCCCGCCAATCCCCGCACATCACATCAGCAGAGCAGCAGCAGCCATTGCTCGCAGGAGCCACAAAGAGGACACCACCAAACAAAACATCACAGTGAAAAGTCCCCAAAAGGACACGGGAGTTCAAGAGATCTTCCCAGGTGGATTCCGTGATCCCCTTCTTAGTTTGGCGTAGTCCACAATGGCTGGAGCAGAGGAGGTCGATCCCGTAGGGAAATGGGATGCCGGACTGCGAAAGATAACACCCAGCTGAAGCAGCAACTCCTCGCCATCCTGGAATGTAGCAAACCCATAGGACTTTCCATTAAGAGTGAACTGCAGGCGAAAAGGGTAGGCCCAACAATATCTAATGCCCTTCTAAACTAAGTGAGAGAGTAGTGGCTTGAGGGATCGCCGCTTCTGGATAGTGGCCGGAGAGACATCAGCAAAGATTTGTATCTTGTGCCCAGTAAGCTCCAGGTCCGGATTCTCCCTGCCATATCGCATAACCGCTTCCTTGACCTGGAAAAAATGAGGCTTGATGATGATATCTCTAGGAGGCCCCCCTTTCCAGGGGGGATCAATGCCCTGTGAATACGATCTATCTCAAGATGAAGGTCATCAATGTCGGGCAAAGCAGACTGCATGAGGGTGTGTGCGCAGCTAGTGAGCTCCTTAACAGACTCGGGGAGCCCTCGAATGCGAAAATTGTATCGCCTGGCCCGTTTCTCCAAATCATCAATTTTAGAGTGTGCTTCCTCCAGGCGATCTTGCAAGTCGGTGATCATGTTGGAATTTTGGGAGACACTATGAGCTGTCGCATCAACTTTAGCCTTGATACTGTCCAGCCGTTTGCCCAAGGCCTAAAAATCCTGCTTAAGGTCAGCCGGCAATTTTGAGGTAGCTCTATCCAGTTCGCGTTGCAGCAGATCCGCGACCCGAGCTATCAAGGTCGCGTCACCAGAATATAGTGGTGGGTCAGGAGGAATTTTTGGCGAGGAGGCTGGGCTGTCATCTGCGGGTTCTGGACCGCTATGCTGGCTGGAAAAAATGGCAGCGATCTCGCTGCTCAATGGCGAGGAAGCAGGGGAGTCACCGCCCAAGGAACAGGCCGAAGCCTGGGACTCTGGTGGTACAGGGCTGGAAGGTGACCGGGGGGGGCCTCAGGGAGTCACTCACCCCAGCTGGTGACGCTGTCGCAGTCCTCCTCAGTCCAGTGTGGAATGAGGTGCTCGTTTTCTCCCTCTGGGGGAGAGGTGCTGCCGTGAGAGAGGCAGAGGAGGCACTAGGAGCCGCGGGCGCCGATCCGGGTGCTATCTTGGACCTCCCAGTCCCCACAGGGAGCAGGATCTGGGAGCCTCCATGGCTCTTCCCCGCCGATTTCCCGGCATATTGCGGGTGCCCGAGGTCCGGTCCAGGTCTGGGGGGGGCCACGGGAGCTAGTGTGCACTATGCCCTTATATGGGCTGTTATCGGCGCCGGAGGTGTGTGGAGCTATCGCCGGGACATGCGATCCCGGCGGCCGCGCATGCTCACTCTAGGAAGTTTTTTTAAATTAAATTCCAGTTTATTCTTCATAAAACTATATCTGTTAAATCTATCATTTTATGGTACTTTTCTTACTTTGTCCATTATCACCATTGTAACATAAATTGTTTCTACAATACAATGTATTTCTAACTACTTATTTTGCAATTGTGTCCCTTTTTTTTTTTTTTTTTTTTTTTTTTTTTAACATCCTAGTTATTTATATAATTGCATGCTAATTACCTAGTAATATCATTTGGTTCGTATTTGCATTTCGCTTTTAATTTAAAAGCGTTCACAGGGTAACTGAGGTCAACCCATCTCTAAGGGTATTGGCATTATTCAGTTTAACAATAAACTTACTTTTTTTTTTTTTTTTTTTCAACCAATATGGAGCCAAACACTTTAAGCTCAATTAACCACTTGCCTACCAGGCACTTATACCCCCTTCCTTACCAGGCCAATTTTCAGCTTTCAGCGCTGCCGCACTTTGATTGACAATTACGCGGTCATGCAGCATTGTACCCATATGAAATTTTGATCATTTTTTTCTCACAAATAGAGCTTTCTTTTGGTGGTATTAATTAATCGCCACTGGGCGCTTTACTTTTTGCGCTATAAATTAAAAAAAAGTGCAAAAAATTTGAAAAAAAAAAAAAAAAGTTTATTTGTTTCTTTTATAAAATTTTTCAAACAGGTATTTTTTCTCCTTCACTGATTTGCGTTGATGAGGCGGCACTGATGGGCACTGATAGGCGGCACTGATGGGCACTGATAGGCAGCACTGAAGGGCACTGATAGGCGGCACTGGGGCACTAGGCGGCATGATGGGCACTGATAGGCGGCACTGATGGGCACTGATAGGCGGCACTGATGGGCACTGATAGGCGGCACTGATGGGCACTGATAGGCGGCACTGATGGGCACTGATAGGCAGTACTAATGAGGTGGCACGGATATGCAGCACTGATAGGCGGCACTGATAGGTGACACTGATGATGGGTACTGATAGACGGCACTGACTGGCATCACTTCTGGGCACTGACTGGCGGCACTGACTGGCACAACCCCTGGGCACTGGGGGTGGCACTGGTGGGCAGCACTGGTGGGTGGGCACAGGTGGGTGGCACTGGAGGGCACAGGTGGGTGGCACTGGTGGGCACAGGTGGGTGGGCACAGGTGGGTGGCACTTCTGGGCACATGTAGGTGGCACTTCTGGGCACAGGTAGGTGGCACTGCAGAGTGGCACAGGTGGGTGCACTGCTGGGCACAGGTGGGGGCACTGCTGGGAACGGGTGGGCGGGGCTAGTGGGCGCACTGCTGGGCGGAACTTGCGGGTGTCACTGCTGGGCACCGATCATCAGGGCACTGATCATCAGTGCCCTGATGATTGGTGCCGATCCCCGCTCTGACAACTGCCGGTTCTCGGCAGTACTTTCCTCATGATCTGACAGCGTGAGGAAAGTGCAGCCGAGAACCGGCACTTGCATTTCCCTGTGATCAGCGTGTCATTGGACACCACTGATCACGTGGTAAAAGGCCGGTGGGATCGGCCTTTCACCACATCACGTGATCAGCTGTGTCCGTAGGACACAGCGATCATGGAGATCGCCGGGTGCGCGCCCCCTGGGGCGCGCAGGAGAGCGCGTTCTGGGAGGACGTCATATGACGTCCACTCAGAACTGGCCGGCCGCGGTGAAGCCGTCATTCGGTTATGCGCGGGGTCGGCAAGAGGTTAACAAGGCTAACACAGCAGTATAAGGATCCTTATTATTTTGTTTTCAGTTAAGTTCAATGAGATTGGAAAATTACAGACGTGTCTTAAATAAATATTCTAATCTACCAACAGATTAAAATAAGGGGGTGCCCTTTAAAATTCTTCATGATTTTTAGATGAGCCGTGCACTGAGGAAGATTGACATTTTACACAGGAGCAGCATGTGTGTAATCTATATTATTTCATAATGTGTGATGCTAGTACACACACTATAGTATGTCTTTTTAAAGAATATGTAAATCCAGCATTTCATATTCCTGATATGTGCCTGCTGTACAGCGTGGTCAGTTCTGTGCTGGAGCTCAGCCTGCTTTTCTCAAATGATCAGGCATGTGTTGACCTGCTCCTGCTGCATAGCCATTCACTGGGAAGTACTGTACTGCATTTTCTCTTCCCTGAGCTCCTTATGCAGCTGGAAACAGAGGGCATGTAATCACTTATTAAAAGGAAAAAAGTATTTGTTTTTTATATCTATACACAAATGTGTATAGAAAGAAAAAAGAGAGCACGCTGCGGTCAGTAACTGTGCTGGGAACTCAGCGTGCTCCTCTCCAATGATGAATTCTTCTTATTATTAAATATATATATATATATATATATATATATATATATATATATATCATTGATTGTATTTGATGGTGGTTGAAGTTTGGGGGGGGGGCACGCAAATGAGAGGTTATGTATTATTTTTTTGTTTTTTTTTGCGTTGTGGTTTTTACAAAGCCCTTGGCACTTAGTCATCGAGGGGCTCTTGTGCAGAAATTAATATCATAATGACTAATAACATATGTATTATGGCTCATTCCTTTGTGAGATAAAATGATTTTTGAGATGTTATATTTTATGGTTGTGAATTAAACAGGAGAAAAAAACTATCATGAGGTAAAATGGCTACGACAGTTAAAGCCCAAGTGCCGTTAAAATAAAAAATTAAAATTCAATGACATAACTTAGTAAGATGTGTAGCTTGTTTGTGTCCCTTTGCTGTCAGTAGTAATCTTTCTCCATCCAGATCCCTCTATCTCCGCCCTGTAATCTTCCAGTGCCGTAGGGGTTAACACACTATGGGACTGTGATGGGCTTTCATCTTGAGAGCCCAACTATGCCAGTCCTTTCCTCCCAGTTCTGCCTTTCATAGAAGCTGTACCACAGCTTCTATGAATGAATAGGATTTGTGAATGGAGGGGCAGACCTTTCAATCATCTGCCTGCCCCCCCATTCATAGATGTGTAATGGACCCTAGGACCCCAGAGGCCTTTCACACCTGATATGTTTGCCACTGGCCCTTATTCCCCTTGGTATCATTAATTAGCCCAAATAAGAAAACCTGCAAATCTATGTACGGCACAGAAAATGTGTATATAAATCTCATTGTGTACTGTGGTTTGCAACCTAAGGTAGGCCATAGACTTACAAAGGCATCGCCAAAGTTGAGGTACTTTGTAACAGCCACCTAATTTTGAACCCACAAGAGCCACCCCCATGTATTCTTGTGACTTTATTGCTATAGAAGTGGAACAAATGTTAAATACTTTGGAAAAAATTCTTATAACCCAGGTCTGTCCCGTCAACTTTTTTTTTTTTTTTCCCCAGAATTTTCATAACTGGTGTTAGTTGAGACTTTGCATGTAGAGTTCAGTGCGGGGCTTTGCAGATTTGTTGCTAATCTCTTAAAAGTTCAACTATTAAGGGACAAAGTTTTGTTTTAAGGGTTCGATTTAGTTTAGTCAGGTATGTAGTTGGGCTTAAAGTGATACTAAAGATTCACTTTAAAGAAACAAAATAAAAAAACAAACAAACATGTTATACTTACCCTGCACTATGCAGTGGTTTTGCACAGAGCAGCCCTGATCCTCCTCTTTTTGGGTCCCCCTTCGGCACTCCTGGCCCCTCCCCTTGCTGAGTGCCCCCAGAGCAAGCTGCTTGCTCTGTGGACACTTGTGCGTGATTGTTCCTGAGCTGCCTTTGTGTGTCAGAGCGTGGCTCCACCCCGTCTCCAGTTCCCTCCTCAGTGGCTGTGATTGACAGCTGTGGAAGCCATTGGCTCCTGCTGCTGTGTCCCAGCCAATGAGGATAGAGAGGCCCAGGAGAGTCGCTTCTTTCATGCGCAGTGCTGGATCGGGATCAGGCTCAGTTAAGTATTGGTGGGGGGGTTTGAGGTTGAGGGAGAAGCTGCACACTGAAGAAATTTTACTGTCATGCATAAAGGTAAAAAAGCTTCAGCCATTAGAACCACGTTAAGGGTTCAGTTTAATGAACAGGTTAAGGTTAGGGTCAGGTTTCAATCTCAAGGGTTAATTTTTAGGGCTTAGGTATTTGAGGTTGGATAGGGGTTGAGTTTGAAGAAAATGCATATGCACAATCTTCTGATTAGTGCAAAAAGCCCAGCATCTTAAACTGAGAAATCTACTATATGCACAGAAACCAGATGTTTCAGAACTCAAAACATCACGTTGAAGTACTAGATGAACATTTATGTTCTTTTTTTGTTCCTGCTTCCCCTACTCTTTGGCATTTCTAGCTACAGTACTTATAGCACTTAATGATATTTTTGCTTTTTATAAGTAAAACCACAACTGGGGCACACATTTTAATAATTTCAAAGTTGTTATTTTCCATTAATGGCAATAGCATATTTATAGCATCTTCATCCTATTTCAGACAATGTAGGAGAAGCAAGTGAAAATTGCAAACGCAAATATACAACTAAACTAGACCTAGTTCAAACTGGGATAAATTGGTCTTATTCCCCTTGGATGCACAATCTGACCTGCGATCTCCTTCTCATTGTCCCATTACAGTCTGGGATGGGTTTAAATATTTCGGGGTTCATTACCCTTTTTTTAGATCATAATCTTTGGCCTGTCACTTGATCGTTTAAAAATAGGGCTCAGAAGTGGAAGGATCTTCTGTTACCGCTGCTGGGCAGGATTAATTTGTTCAAGATTTATTTGCCTAAATTTCTCTGTATTCTCTATGTTCCAGTATGCATTCCAAATAGGCTTTTTAAACATATCGATTCACTGCTTTAGTGCTTTCTTGTGGGGTTCCAGGGTACCCAGGGTGTCCTTGGAAATTTTACAACTTCCAATAGAAAGAGGGGGTCTGGCGCTGCTGTATCTTCATATGTTTTATTTTGCATCCCAACTGATGTATATGCGCTGGCGAACTTTCCCTCAGTTAAATAATGTAGCAATGGCAGTTGAAGCGGCAGGGGTTTCCTCCTATGCGGCATTGCTGAACTTTTTCTATAAAGGAGAGGTCCCTACTCAAGGGGGCAAGTCTATTCTGGCGGTTTCTAAGACTATATACAGAGATTGTGTGTAAAGCAAATTTCGGATGAATCCCTGGGTCATTCGCTGAGTGCTCCGCTATGGTATAATCCACATTTGGAAGAATTTTCTAAGCTAGATAACGGTTGTAGGTGGGCACGATATGAGGTAAAATACCTCCATTTATATGAGGATGGGCAATTTAAATCCTTTAGACAACTATGTGAGTGGGGTATACCTGCTTTGTGGGATTTTCATTCTATCAAGCTCAAACATGCTGCAATGTGACAATTTGGCGAAGAGGTGGTATCTTTCTAACACTAGACTGGAGACACTCCTGAGACCGGAGCATAATAAATTGGTTTATAACTTTCACTCAGATGGTAGACCATGCCATAGAACTAGGGAAAGATGGTATGCTCTTGTCCTGAATCTGACAGATCAAAGATAGTCAGAGGTGCTTTGTTCATGTGTGCCTTCTTTCATTTTCTCTAGGGACAAGATGATACATATTCAATATCTACATCAGATGTATTATTATAATAATAATATTACACACCACTAAGATTAGTTAAAATGGATAGGAGGGACTCTGCAACATGTCATAAATGTTCAGTGACTGAGGGGACATTCCTGCATATGGTTTGGGAGTGTGCTAAGGTCCGACCACTGTGGTCCCAAGTCACCAAATTTATAGCAGACATGTTTGATTTACCAAACATTTGTAGCCCACTTATTTGCCTCTTGGGGGTGATTGAAGACTATATAATGGATAATGCCACACAAACGTTTCTGAGATTATTTTTATGTGCATAAATTGATAGTGTTACATTGGTCACGAAGGGATGTCCTTTGTTTGGCAGCTTGAAAAACTAGTGAATTATAATGTCCCACTATATGAAATGATCTATGAAGCCAGAGGATGCCCTAAAAATTTCTGTGAATTTGGTCTAGATCAGCAATGGGCAAACTACGGCCCGCGGGCCGTATACGGCCCGGTGGACCTTTTTAATCCGGCCCGCGGAGCTAGGCTCCTCTCAGTCCGCCCTGAAGACCGGTGTAGCATGAAAATCTGTCTCCTATGAGGATCTGTCCCCCTCGACGTATCTGCGCATGTGCCGGAGATCGCCGATCGGCTGCTAATGCCTGAAACTGGCACATGCGCAGATACGTCGAGGGGGACAGATCCTCATAGGAGACAGATTTTCATGCTACACCGGAACTGCGCGGGAACACAGCGAGAGGAACGCGCGGAGCAAAGGTAAGTGAATTGACACAGGGGGGACTTGGGGACTTAATATGGGGGATGAATTAATATGGGGAATGAATTACTATAGGGGGGATGAATTACTATGGGGGATGAATTACTATATGGGGGATGAATTACTATGGGGGGGATGAATTACTATGAATTACTCTATGGGGGGGATTAATTACTCTA